ACGTGCGCACGGCTAGGGGATGGGAGGACCGCTTCCTTCTGGTTTGACAGCTGGATGCATGGCGAAGCACCATGCTTGGACACTGGGTATTCTGTACATGTACTAACAAATGGCAGCAATGGTAGTACCTGCGGGGACGGACGTTGCAGCTGTTGACAATGACTGCAATCAATGCGTTGATGTTAGGCACCAATTGATCCAATACAGCACTTAGCTGTTTGGACAGTTTGCATGGCGGGCTGCAGAAGAGCATGGTGACAACGCCGCTTTTCTGGCAAGCCATGACGAGTGTGTGGGCGTGACCGAAGATTTCAAGGAGCTCATTTAGGGCGTCTCTGATCTCTTGTTTTTCCACCATCTCTGTGTTCTCGAGCTTTGATAGGAGGGCACTGACTGTACTAACACGTTTACCAATCTCAATGCAAGCCTCTGTGTTCTGAAGAGCCGTCCGTGCTGCCTCTTTGATGTCCAGAGCAACTCCAGCTATTTTTTGTAGTATGGTAGAGGGTGTTCGGCGAGCAGCAGGCTGCACAATTTAATTCTTCATCATCATTAATAGTGTGGCCTATTGTATAAAACATAAATGACCTTAAGGTACCATAAAGGGCTCGACCATGGCACTAAGATCGTGGAGATGCTATTCACACGTACAACTGGATGTCTATGTAGGGAAGTATGTACCTTACGCTTTTTCACCATTGCGCAGCACGAACATAGAGCATCCTGGTAGGCAATGATTTCCAGACGTTATCATCATCCATATCTAGACCAAATGCATGACATACCATCCAAATTTACGAGTTTGTGACATGCTCCCTCCATTCCTAAATACAATTCTTTTGGAGATCCCTATATAAACTACTCCCTCCGTCCCATAATGTAAGACGCATTTCGACACTACACTACTGTCTAAAAATATCCTACATTATGGGACGGAGGGAGTACATACGGAGCAAAATGAGTGAATCTACACTCTAAAATACGTCTATATATATCCGTATGTAGTCCATATTGAAATCTCTAAAAGGACTTATATTTAGAAACGGAGGAAATAGATATTCATACCACTGAGGAATCCCATTTGCTGTCCCTTAAGCTTGTGTCAGGATTGACTTCATTCTACAAGTATTCCGCAGGAAACAAATTAATTCATCGAGAAGACAGCAAATAAAATTCTACTAGTATTCTGCAGGAAAGATTGAATTTACCAAATTATTTTGCTTGTATAGAGAACACAAAAGACCAGGTCGTACCTCTTCCTGGGACATCCGTTTTGCCATGAGTGCTCTGTCAAATATCGTAGTCTAGAAAATATATAAAAATCCATTTTTAGGTGAGGTGGGGTAATAGCATATTGCATCACAATATGTAGAGCATACTAAGATAAATATACGGATTATAGTGGGCTAAGTACCCATTAGGGCAACTCTAAGCGATACACAATAACCGGACAGAGGAGTAAAAATCCGGTTTTACTCCACTAACCGGTACCTAGCTGATCCCCAATCGGCGTTCGAGGAGTAAAAAATATCCTCGCGGGCTCCGATTCCCTTATTGTTACTCCACGGCTCCACTGCCGAGTAAAAAAAAGCGCCACTCCCCTCCTCTTCATGTCCACCTCCTCTGCCTCTTCTCCTCCCCCATCCCTGTTGTCGGCACACCTGCCATTCCCTGAGCGCCACCCTTCTCCGAATGGCTGGACTGCATAGCCGGCGCTTCCTGCCGTCGATCCGTAGCTCGGATCCACGCCGCCACGCCCCGCCAGGCCACATCCTCGAGCCGCCACTGTCGTGCCCCTTGCTCGCTTCTCCGACTTCCCGGACTTCCCTCCGCCATGGCAGCCGCAGAGGAAATACCTTGGCGCCCGCGAGCGCGCGTGGGAGACTTGAGTGGTAGAGACTACCGACCGGGAGACACACACGAAAAAGTGGATCGACTTGTTACACATGGCGGAGCTCGCCGCCTTGGAATACGACTGGTGGCAGGTCCGGTTCCATGGCATGGCGGTGAGGCTCAACTTTTTCGTGGGGGACGCGGTACACCCACCTCGTCCACGTGGTGCCGGGGGTGGTGGATGAGGCGACGGCTCGGGAGGACCGCCTCGCGGCGGAGGCCGCCGACGAGGAATACATGGCGAACCTCCACCACCAGCAGCCCGAGCTCGTGGAGGCGGAGCGGGCCATCTTTGCGGAGCGGGCAGTCGATGATCATCGTGATCTCCAGTGATAAGGTGATAAGGTGCAAGGCGGTGACAAGGGCGGTCAGGAGGAGGAGTTAGACATCGAGGAGTGGTGGCACATCTTCCCCGACTGCGACGATGACAACACCGGCTCGGACCTATTGGGCGGTGGCATGTCGAGGCAAGATTGGTTCTACCTCTACAATGACAAGGATGATGATGATGAGTAGTCTAGTGTAGTTTAAGTTTAGTGTATTTTAAGTGTGTAGTTTAAGTTTGAATTTATATTTAATGTTCGGTTGTCAAGACAATGTGTTCGACTAGGTTGAACTTATCTATAAATTTATGCAAATTTTGGTTGAAACTAGGTTGAATTTATACAAATTTATGTTTACTCCATTATATATAGGAGTCGGTCCGGTGAAATCTTAGTGGAGTAAAGATACTCCACTAAGAGTTTACTCCGCCGGATCCTGCGTTATTTTTAGGTGGTTCGGTTAGAGTTGCCCTTAGGGCCCACCATCTGCAAACTAAAGCTAAGCAAAAGAAAAAAAACACGTATTCACATGCTGACCACTAAGGTACTACGCATACCCCTTAATCATGCATTTTATAACTGGTTTCTCTCCGTGACGGCTTCACATGACTGATCGCTACTATTTGCACCCAAACTTCAATGTCTTTCCCCAGCAGCGTTACAGCGTTACCTAAATTGCTACTACCTTCACGTTAGCTATATTGTTCAAGGACATCCATCTTTTCTAGTTTGTACTAGTCTTAATTTCTTTGGACATGGTTAAGGGATAGCTCTAGCATCATTCTTAAAATGTTCATCTTAATTCTTCAACATGCAAAGTATCCACCTCAAGGTCCCCATAAAGTCATGCATTTAAGTCTTCTCTCAACGTGCATACAGTCCTCAGCATCCTCACTATGCCTTGCATTTAAGTTTGCCACATAATCAAACCATGTATATAACTTATAAATTATAATTACTTTTGCATTAGTCTATGCACGTAGAGTTGCCACATGATACATTCTTCATATTTTTGTTTGAAATGACATTTTTAACTGTATTTCAAAAGTTTTTTTTTTCTATTTTAGACACTTCATTGATTTTTTATTGATTTTCAAGCTTATATTTTCCTCCATTAGATTTAGTAGATTAAGTTGTTCTGTTAGCATGCAAGCCTTCCGCCTCACCAAGTGTGCCACGTCAACATCCACTAAAAATATTTTCAGCCATGTAGACCACATCATCATGTCTATTTTTTGTATCCCAGTACCTCTAATTTTCTCAACATGCAGGCCTTCTACCTTATCAAATGTTCCATGTGACCATACACTAGCAATATTTTTTCAGCCATGTAGATCACATCAGCATGTCTATTATTTGTTACTAGACATACGTAGTACGTCGAACATGATTTAATTTGCTTACTTTCTAAAGGCTAAGATGTACCCAATTTAATTATTGCAATTAATTTGGTCCAGCCTACATGTATTCCCATTGTTCACACACAATGCAAGTTAGGAACATTTCTACATTTCAAAATAATAGCATTTTATTTAGTCATTTTCTCCATATACAATTCTTTTGAAATTAACCTTTCAATTCCCGCTGCAACGTGCGTGAAAATCACCTAGTTTTGTGTATGTTTCCACGTGCTAGTAGTGTTCCTGGTTTTGACGCTACCATGCTATAGCTTATCTCTATATGATATATGGAGTTAAGATCAATATGATGCAAACGTCTGTTGTTTGAATACATATGCATGTGTTGTACAAATGTTCGTGTATTTTGATCATTGATCTTGAAACAATATTTGCCATGAGAGTGTCCAAATATAGCAGGATGAACATTCTATCCAGAAAATTGCGTCATATTTTTCCAGTAAGTTATGTACAACAAGTGGGAAACAAAACATACAAATGAGTCAATCTGAACATCCACATCACTCTCGTCTTGAATTTGTCTGCACATCTGCATCAGCATCATAACCACACATAATATCATTCATGTATACTCCATTATACCATAGAATTACTATTACTCACTTAGTAGACCGAATCTGGATATATGATTCAAAACATAATATTACTCGAGCATCATATTGTACTTAGGGATGTACTGTATGGTACCTGTTGGAGCGTATTTGGTGGTTGCGTTGCTAAGAACTGGAAAGGCGCTTGTTTGCCGACATGACAATCCTGAAAATTCTGAAGGGACATGTAAGTAAGGTCGGACGTGAAAATATATACGAGGAAAGAGATTATTTACCACTCCAAGTCATGATTAGAACACGTGCCTTTCCATTGTGTCCAATGATGGTAGGGGTGTTCCTGACTTGAAATACTGACAATTATTGAAGAGTTTGAGGGGAGAGGGGGGTAGGAGCTTAATCTTTCGTGTGACCGGTCCACTTCTGATTGCCATCCTCACTCTACAGCCTCTAATATGAGTTTCCATGGACAATGCCAGTCTAATTAGCAAAAAAGTCACTGGTATGACCTTCTCTGGCCGACCTAACCATTTTGTAACACGTCAAACCTCTTTGGGTCAGTTTAGCATCGGCCCAGTTAGTGTGTGGTAGGTCCCATCGATAGAAGTTCCAATAGTGCCGAACGCCATTACAAGGGAGATGCTGGAAGAAGTCAAAAGTATAATTCATGGGTAGGGGGAGGAGGTGTGTATGCTGGAAGCCTGGACATTGGTTCAGCTGGAGAGTTACTTGGATAGCATGTCAATTTGTCTTGCCATTCAAATGAGCACTCTGGAAGACATTAGTATCACGCAAGGATGACAAAAGTTCTGAATGAATCATACCTGTTGAGCTGGAGGTAAACTGACTGGACCAATTGGTTTAGGTAAAAGGAAAGCAATGATGGCCAACGTCGCATCCATGTTCTTATTGGATATATGTTGCTCCACCTTCATTAACTCTTGGGACAGTTTCCCGGAACTGTAGAGAAGGCACGGGAAGTTGGTGTCCTCCTCCTGGCAGTCGGTGACGAGCTTCAAGGCCTCACCAAGGATATCGGCCAGCGCATCAAGTGCGAGCCTCACTGCCGAGTTGTTCATTAGCTCTGTGTTATTCTGGTGCTGCGACAACGTAGTACTGAGTATCTCCACGCGGCTTTTTATTTGCTTGCAGGCATCTTCATTCTGCTTCACCGTGTCTGCAGCCTTCTTGATCTTTAGTGCAACTTCCACAATCTTGGTCACGGTGCCCACTGCATCGACCATCGTAGGGACTAGGCACAGATCAATTCTAATGACATGAACTAATTAATAAACTGAGGAATTCATGAAAACAAGTAATAAGCCGATTAGCAGTTGTAGCACTAACCTGATTTCTTGGATTAATTCTCCTTTTCTTTCCCCTGCACATGTCTTTCTCGAAACGAGCGATTCCAGTATCGGCTCGGGAGCAAGTCTTCTCGAATAAATGAACTAATCTGTTCTGGACACAGATAACGCGCTTGCTCCCACCGGTGACAGGGTCTTCTCTGGAAGTGTCAAAGAAACGTGAATGGACAGACTGCAATACGGCATAAAGGACAGACCCAGTGCTAGAAGCTCCCACACCAGGTGGGCTCCAGGGAAGGATTAGGAGACTGCGAGACGGCATGCTAAAATAAAACGGCCAACCTTGTTATGATGTGCCATTGATAGTGCCGCCATCACTTTTTATAATGCACTACCACATCGTTTTCCTCTTGACATCACCGTCATTATTTTTAATATTGCCATATTGTATTCTCTCCTTGGTGCGCCACACAAGACTGGGTCCTGCAGAGAAAAAAAAGTGGTTGCTTCAGAGAAGTACCATGCCCACAGTTTGATTATTTAGATGTAGGAAAGCAGTGATTTGATGGTTATGATGTCCTACAGTTTGTCCATGTTCGTCTTTCTAACTTAATAATACATTGTTGGGCATCGAGAATAGACAGAACGCATGCCAAAGTGGCACAATTTGCTGTACTACATCTACATAAAGGCTGCCAAACAAGAAAGGAGTGACATGTAAGCATAAGACCATTAAGGCCTTTTTGATTCTAAGGTTTTTTTAGAGAAATTTTCGAGGCTGAGATCCTTAGGAATTTTTTCCTAGATCTTATTCGTAGGTTATTATTATAATATGTTTGGTGCGGATCATCTATTAATTTTGTTAGAATGCACTTAATTTAGATTCCATCACCACCACGCTTGTATCCACTCGGCAGCATCGGTCACAATTTTCCTGACAGAAACCACTTTAGATTTACATTGATAACTTTGCCCTCAGCAAAATCTACAAACTTACATTGCTATTGATATGGGTGTTGGCATCTCTATCCATTCTGGTTGGTAACTGATGGCGATAGATAACTAGAGAACGCGGCGATTCGGTGCCCAGGTCTAGCTGAACCTGATATCCTAGTCGTTGAATCATGCATAGGGATGCTGGAAAATGGTTTTGTCATGTAAGAGGCCGAGCGCTGAAAAATCAGATACCGGGAGTATACTTCACCTGACTTGGGACGTGAGGAGGCCACCATGGAGATTGTCACCTGCGGCGGCGCCCCTTCTCGAAATCAGACTGTGATCGGTGAAGAAGACGTGAAGGGAGGAGGCTCCTGGAGGGAGAAGACGTGGAGGGAGGAGATGTGGGGGGAGGAGACGTGGAGAAAAAACATATGAACGAAAGCTTCTGGAAGCCTCCCAAAACTCGGCAGAAAGCTTCCGTAGCTTTCCCAAAACCAAAAGATGGATGAGGCTAATGGGACGGCACAAACCTATCGATCTGAGTGCATGGGCATTGTGTCTGGATAGCCATGTTGTTAAATAAGAATTTACCATATTCTAGATTAAAAAAATATCATATTATATCTAAAAATACTCAAAAAAATGCCATGATGCATGAAAGCAACACACGGAGAACTGCCAATCAAAAAAAGAAAATGGTGATAATAGCCATGCTCTGAATTTGTCGTGTTGCTGAAGGAAATTGACATGCTATATCAACGTAAAATGGTGAAAACTGGAATGCTCAAACAATTTCCCATTTCGAATTGTGTTCGCTCAGATTGCCATCGTGAGCGAACCGTGTACTGTTGTCAGCTCTTTGTTTGCTCGAAGGGGGTGTGCGGAAGCAGACGCTTTATTATTCGTGCACGGAATTCGACGTGCACGAGAGCGTTCGCTCGAGGTCCCTAAAAATTTGATGTCATTTTTTTAGAATTGGTACTACTATTCTTTTAGTGAAATTCTAATGTGGTACTCCTTTTTTTTAGACAAGAATGTTTTTTTTTTAGAATCTTGAGACAAGAATGTGGTACTACTAGTTCGCAGTGTTACATCACGTGGGCCTAGAAGGAACGAGTGACAAATTTTATTGAGCTTCCCGCTATTGTGGGCTGCACCTGATGGGCTTCGTCGTCGTCGTTCTCCCCCGAACAGAAAATGCAAAAAAACACCGAATGTCTTAAAAAAGGAAGAAAAAAATAGAAATAAAACAGCGCTTCTTCTCATCAAGAGATCCCCAAAATCGCAGGGAAAACGCCGGCGCGCCGGAACCCTCCGCCGTCTTCCTTCCTTCCTCCGCCCCACCAGCGGGGGGCATTCTTTATCCCAAGATGCCTCCCGCCGGATTGCTCTGTCCATGGTGCCGGCAGTTGGCGCGGCAGACGGAGAGAGCAGGTCGCCGGCGAGCGACCGGAGAGTACTGCAACCACTTACGTGGTGATGTACGGCGGAGCGTTGGCACTTTGGAGGCTCCTATAACCACTCTGGTAAGAGGGTTACTGTACTGCAACTATGATAAATTCAGTCCCACAGAGATATTTTTCGTGGATTTTTCACCGGTTTAGAAGGGTATCACCAAGTACTCCCTCCGTCCGAAAATTCTTGTCATGAAAATGGATAAAAATGAATGTATTAGTTCTAGATACATCCTTTTTATCCATTTTGATGACAAGTATTTTCGGACTGAGGAAGTAGTAGTTAATTAGGAAAGCGTAAGACGTTAGGATAAGAATGTACAGTTCGCAATGATTTAATCATGCTCGTCCCAGATCCCAATCGAAGGAACTAATGAAGTTCACAACTCAAACTGATATATGGTGCAAACCACTCCTAGAAATATGCTGTTTTCCTTATGGGAAATACCTTGCTCATGTTCGAGCGACCGGCATTTTACCGTAGGAGGGAGATCTAGAGATTGTACATGATTTCTTTTATCATTCCATGAAATCCCCAAAACTTATTTGACGGACTCTAATTACACAATTCCACTATTTATGTCCTCCACTTTTTAAGCAAAGTTGCATACTGCTTGGTGAGAACAATAAGAGATGTCAAGTTTGCTAACAGCTTCAAATGGCAATAATTAGTCTCTACCTGCTGTTATCCCAATCTCCAAATTTGGACAGAGAGGCTGCAACACCTCCCGAAGTTTGTCTGAAATAGGGGAGGGCAATTGATCGGAATTAAGAATGCGCGATAGTTTGAACAAGCAAGACCTACGATTTTTCTAGCACAATAGACCAACATGGCCAAAGCAGGTTTTTTACCTTGCTGATAGAATATTTCACTACTGGAATTTTCCTCTTTGCCGAGTGTTAGGCTCTTTGCCGAGTGCATTATGTCGGACACTCGGCAATAGTATCTTTGCCGAGTGCTTAACTCGGCAAAAACGCAAAACTCGGCAAATAGGCACTTTGCCGAGTGTCGTGGACAAAACACTCAATAAAATAACAAAACTCGGCAAACAGGGCTTCTTTACCGAGTGTCACACTCAGCAAAAGGGTGTCTTCGCTAAACTGCACGGTTTTGGTTGTAGAGGTTGCATACGTCCTCTGATGAAGATGGTCCAAAAATCAAAGTTGTTCATTTTGACGAGACAGACAATTTCCATGTTGAAAACCTTTTCATTTCAGGCCATATTAATTACACTTTTTTGGCTTGCCAAGTATTTATATAGTCTCAAATGACCAAGGTTATGGCCATATTAATTGGATAGTTTATTATAATGTTCCCAAATTAGACACATAGGTGCATCTTGACATTACAAAAAATGTTGCCAAATAGAGTTTCCTACTTTTTTCTATAAAAAATCAATTTCCATTTTCTAAGTGTCAAAAATGGGTGTTTTTTGTGAAGCAAGTACAAAAATCGGGGTGCAAAATGGCATATTTTATGCACAATTCCCAAGTTTCATGGATTTTCTAATTTTCTAGCTACTTTCGCACATTTAAATGACTTTATGTCAATTTCCCGAAAGTAATTCAAATTTGAACTGCAAGTATGTGATAGCTTAGTCATAAATTTTAGCAAAAAATGTTTTTAGGTACACAAATAGTCACTATATGGGAGAACCACTTGATTTTTGAGAGATTCAACCCCTTGTGATGAATAGCCATGTCTACCATTTTAACCCCGTTTTGGGAAAATGAAAGAAAAAGAATACAACTTCAAAAAATGCTATCCTTTCACATGGAGTGCTTTTATGTGTATTAGTTGCGAGGAAAAATACCAAACTTTCAATATAACAAATTTGAAAAAAAAATCCTTCACAAAACGGACTATCATGTATGAACATTAATGGCTTTCAACTTAAAGGACCAAGGTGATGGTCATATTCATTGCATAGATTATTATAATGTTCCCAAATTAGACACATAGTCTCATATTGACATTACAAAAAATGTTTCCAAATAGAGTTTCCTACTTTTTTGTATAAAAAATTAATTTTCATTTTCTAAGTGTCAAAATGGGTGTTTTTTGTGAAGCAAGTACAAAAATGGGTGTGCAAAATGGCACCACTCCAATTATCACAGTAAGTAGACCATATTTTATGCACAATTCTCAAGTTTCATGGATTTTCTAGTTTTCTAGCTACTTTCGCACATTTAAATGACTTTACGTCAATTTCACGAAAGTGATTCAAATTTGAACTGCAAGTGCGTGATAGCTCTGTCATAAAAATTAGCAAAAAATATTTTTAGATACACAAATAGTCATTATATGGGAGAACCACTTAGAGTTTTGAGAGATTCCATCCCTTGTGATGAATAGCCATGCCATTCATTTTGACCCCATTTTGAAAAAAAGAAAGAAAATGAATACAACTTCAAAAATACAATCCTTTCGCATGGAGTCCTTTTATGTGTACTAGTTGTGAGGAAAAATACCAAAATTTTCATATGACTAATTTGAAAAAAAATCCTTCACAAAATGGGCTATGTCTATGAACATCCATGGAT